TTTTTTTTTTTTTTTTTTTTTTTTTTTTTTTTTTTTTTTTTTTTTTTTTTTTTTTTTTTTTTTTTTTTTTTTTTTGCATCATTGTTATGGTCACTGTATATTCTCTTCTGAATCTGTGCTGAAAACTTTCTTGTTTCATCTGTTGAATACTTCCATCATGCTCTTTCAGTGCCGAGTACGGAATTGGTATACAAATTGATTTGTACTGTAAAGAAAGATCAGCTCTGTGCATAAATTTTGTTCAACTGGAAGGCGCTGTCAAGGCTTTTGGAGGCTCTTGGCTGAACTGTGTACATAGTTATGCTGACAAACTTGATCCAAGAACATGTTCTCCCAGGCGTAGGCCCATGTTTCTGACCTGGTTAGTGACATCTAGTCTTGATTCATGTAATTAGTTTGCGTAGGTAGCTTGAAATTGTTTTTTCATTCTACTATTAGAAAGTTTCTCGTAGCATTTCAGGTAGCTAGTTCAAACACTTAAGATTACTTCGGTCTCTATATATTTTACATGGCATTTTCATTCATGATCAGAATGGTTAATTCATGCATTCTTTTATTCCAAAAGATTTTCCGTGTGGTGATACATGCCCCATTTGAAATAAAGGTGTTATCTAAGCTAGGGAAAATTCCTTTATTTTTTGAGAATTGAATAAGAAACTATGTATTTAAAAAAATTAAGAAGTATCTAATCAAACCTATTAAATTAACTAACTCTATTGGAGTTATGGATACCATAGACAATTGAGAATTATGGATCTCGTAGGCATGAAAGGATTATCTTTAAGATTGACTTTCAGAAGACCTAAGATCATGTGGATTGGGATTTCTTGGTGGATAAGATCCTTGCGAAGAAGGGTTTTGGGTTCAATTGGAGATCCTAGTTATGAGCTGCATTAGGATAGTTAAGTTCTCCATCCTCATCAATGGTAAATCTAGAGAAGGATTTGTGCTTCAACATGTCTTGGACTAGGTGACCCTCCCTCTCTTTTTCTTTTCCCCTTGGTTGTGGACAGCCTTAGTAGAATTATTCACTATTTTAAAAGGCTTATTGCGGCCTTGAGGCGTAAGATAATATTTGTTGTAAATTTGTTGTAAATAGTTAACCAAGGAAATTCAACTAACCCACTACCAAAAGCCACTGTTAGGAATTTGCAATGGAATGAAGCTTGAGGCTTTTGTCTTGGAGGCATCTCAGAGCCGCCCCTTGCCTCAAGGCTTACGCCTTAAATGATCTTTTAAATATTCGAATTGTTTCAAAGCAGGTCGTGGTTAACATTCTGGGCGGTTTTTCAGATTGAGAAGAATCAGATAGCCTTGTCTCTTCAGTTTTAATTTCGTTGATGATATGAAATTACAAAAAAAAATTGGCCAAGCTCCCAATCAAAGAAGCTCGATAAAACCTCTCCTGTTGGAAAAGAGAGAATTATAGCTATAATGATGAAAGAAGGGGAGAACATTTACACCAAGAAACAACTTGATAGATTGGCAACCTTGATGGGGTTTGGGTTTCAGGGTTTAAGTGTGGCGGCTTCCTTTGGTGTTTGGTTTAAATTGTGAATCTGTCAAGTTTGGTAGATTGGCAACTTCGCTGGGGTGTTGCGTGGGAGCCTTTCCTTCCTCCTATTTAGGTCTCCCTTTGCGTGTAACACCAAGGGCCTTGTGTGGTAGGTCATGCATGGAGGAGTTAACACCTTGGATTGAATCTTGGGTAAATAGTCCATCTTGGTTGTGCTGCTTTGTATTCTTCGCAAGAGAGCGGCATAACGTCTCCATCATGTTCTCTGGTGATGTGATGTTTCAGGTGCTGTTTGGAGCTGTTCCTGTAAGGCGTCCAACTTTTGTTTTGTCAGCTCTCAAGGTTGTAGGTGAGATGTTTAAGGAGCTTTTTCTCCACTCTCCTTTTTGTGAGAAAAGGGCTGTTTTTGGCTGGTTAGAGTGCGCTAGTTTGTGAGGTCTTTTGGGCGAGAGGAATAAAAGAAGGTATGAGGGTTAATAAGAGACTGTCTAGTGATGTTTGGTCCCTTGTTAGATTTTCTGTTTCTCTCCAGCTTTGGTGGGGAGACCTTTTTGTAATTACCTTCTTGATCTTATTTCATTGGATTGGAGCCTTTGTAGTTTAGTTCTCTTTTGTTGGCTTTATTTTTATATGCTCTTGTGTTCTTTCATCTTTTTCTCCAAAGTTCCATTGTTCAATTTAAGAAAATAAAAAAGGATTCAGTGACAAGAAAATTCTAATAAAGTACGTAGGTATCCACTCTCCAAGCTTGACATAATTGAGATTCTTTCTAAACCCCCAAGTTCCGACATCCATTAAAATAAGTTAATAGTTCCAGGCTTTCTTCGCAGTTCTCACCTTGTGATTAGAGAGTATCTAATGTTCTGGAGCAATCTCTATGAGAGGCTTATCACCAAGTTGCATGTCTTCTCATAAGAGAGTACTTAAATTTCTAGCTAGAGGGTCTATAACTCTTTTATAAGGTGGGCTTCTGGGACTTCACCATTTAGTTTCATCGCAAAAAGACCACTCTTGAGAGACTCCACCTAGCGCATCTTGCAATGTCAATTATTTCCTCTTTGATGATGGAATACCTAAAGCCATTTAGCAAATAAAAACCTCCAATCTTCTGCCTTGGCGAGTGTCATCCAACTTGAAGGATTTCTCCAATATGCTAACAATTTTCTTGGGAAGCTTTCAGATGGGCACGCAGTTGACTGCTATACTTAAAAGCCTTGCTTGAATTAGGACAAGATAGCAGCCTTGTCGACTAGAGCTTTGGAAGTTAAGTTGGGGGAAGGTGGCCGGACTGATTGACAAGGGACTTGGTTTTCAATCTTCGGACCCAAAGAATCTACCCTTAGTGTCAACATTGTTAAGTGCTTTGGAGGTTTTATGCAGAATCCCAGTGGATGAGGGTGGTGGTGAGCATCCATGGAATTGGGGAGTTGGGATGGATTCCCAAGCTTTAATCCTAAAAATGTGAGATGTTGAATGAATCATTTGATTATATGACATGCTCTTGAGCTGAAATTTTCTTGGTTGTTGAATATCACGGGTAGTCAATCCCCCTTTCATCTGTGCTGGGAACACTAATGGTAATGAACGTATGTTGTATACAAGTACTTGATAGTTGAAACCTTTAGATGGAGTCTTGGGTCCTTGCATTCCTCGGGTCTTTTTTTTTCTATTACAAGAATGCTTTTTCCAAGGCTATATCCAGTGCTATATGGTATGGTAGGGGTGTCAAAAGAAATGACCTAACCATATACCAACCAGTTCTTTATCTAACCACCTTCCTCCCTGACCTTGCCTTTGTCTCCACATCCACTACTCTATTTACCTCTCTGATCTTCCCCAACTCTCTCCAGTGCATGATTCCTCTCTCTGATTATCTTTCTTCTCCTTGTGCTATATTGCCCTCTGAACTTGCTGTGCCAGGTATATGACCATATGAACCTTACTGTGCCCGTTCTCATGACTATTGTACAAAGAAAGTTGTATAAGTAGTTTGTTTGTTTTTTGTATACAGAAGATTATTTATCGAGACGTTTTCATAATACCAAATACTATTACTATTTTCTCTCTTTTTTCCTTCAGTCTTATTAGAGAAGTTTTAGGCCATGAATAAGAGCTTGTTCACATATGGTCCCATGGAAATTGTATGTACAAGTATTCATTTGGGGGGGGGCATCCTGCCTAGAAATAAAATTACCTTTTATGAGTCTGTTTGTTTGGCCTGCTTTAGATGATGATGATCTATTTGGTAATGATATGGTGTCGTGGCCATATATTGTGACAGGTTTTGATAGACTTTTATGATAAGAGAAAGATGAGCAAATTTTGAGATTCTTGACTTGTTTACTTTAATCCGGGAAAAGAAAGAGTAGCATTATATCCATGGAGAGAGATAGCTCGCAGCTGCAAAGTTGAGATATAGACTATATATTTAACTTGGATTATTGTGTCAAGACGTGGCTGATCCTTCCTTCTTATTACGCGACTCCAGTTGTAAAGGTAGTCCCCCAGGATACTCCAAAAAAGAAATTTCAGATTTTATGTAATACCATTACACTTTCATTACATTTGTACATGATATCATTCCCTTTTCTCATCTCACATCCTTAACTATTTTCTAAAATAATTTCTTCCATGTTTAAAAAACCATGCCCATCTAAAAGTAGTTCAATATTATGAGCTTCATTTCCCGATTTAATTCTGACCCTCTCCCTGATGAATACAAAACACTTTCTTTCCATCTGGTAGATTTGTTGTAGTGGTTTTGGGGCCTTCCCCTTTGAAACTGTGCCGTATGCATTTTGGTTGGGGGACAATGCATTCATTCTTTTCTTGGACTTTTGGTAATCAATGATGCGTGATGTTGCCTACAACTATTCAATTAATTTCCTTTTTCAACATGCACTACGTTGATAGAGGTACCTTATTTGCTTTCTACTTGAGATGTGTTGTTCTAATTGGAGTATTAATTTTTTGCTTCAAAGTGGAACACTGAAATATCTAAGATAGAACTGGAAAAAAAGAAAAAAATATATATGGAGGTTTCTGAGTTCACAATAAATCACATGGTATTCACAGTAATTTAGATTGATGGAAAAAAATGTTTCTTTGTTGGGGGAAAAGTTTATAAAATTATTAGTGACATGGATAGTTAATATAATTAGAAGTCTTCATTGTATAAAATTGTAGTAAAATGAGTCCATGGTCCAATAAATAGCAACTGAACATTACGCTTTGAAACAATGAACTAATATACATTTCCTACAAATTTTCTCTTACAAGACAAATCCTTTTCTACACGTGCTCTATCTTTAAGGAACCAATGACTCAAAAAGTGTAATGTACCTGTCATTTGACTTTTAAACTTCTATATTTGAATTCTTTCTCGAACTGTAGAAGACGATATTAAAACCTCTGATAAATTACAGAGCAAAAGTTGGGAGAAAATTTATCCTTTCCTCTTTTCTTTTTTTTCTTTTAAATTCAGATGGGAGCTAATCAAGTGCAGCTTTGTTCCTTCGACCTGTCAAAGGTATTGGCAAGCCATCAAATATTGGTCTTGAAACAGTTGAAATTGCCTGTAAATCTGGCTTCAGACTCCACTTTGAAGCAGACCAGATGGATGAAGTGATGCCATTTTCTTGATCTGGCAAGCTTGATGTGCTTGACGACTTTCTGAATCCATCAGCAGCCACAAACAAATCCCCCAAACCAATTGGGATTGGAATCAATCCGATATCATTGTCGCTTGCCAAATTAGTTCTACTGGAGGTTTTGGGTCTTTGAGCCAAGCCTTTTCCAGCATTGGATGAGAAGCCGTTACTACCACCACTGCTGTTGTCATCTTTCAAGAGCATTTCAGGCGTATGGGAAAAGTCAGCTACAGATTTCAGGCGCCTTCTGATCAACTTATCATTCCATTTGGGATCTCCATCCCCGGCTTCTACAGATTGCAGATCAGTCAGATCCCCTTTCTCACCCATAAATCCATTCACTAAACTCTTGGTTTTTCGATGGTGATGTGTTAGGAGATCCGGGGTCCCAGAAACTGGCACGTCTTCTAAATAATGGGAGCCTCCTTTCCCGTAGACTGCCATTTCATAACCACCGTCAATTTTGCTCTTCTGATCCAATGGCTTAAGCCCATAGTATCCTTGTAAAGAGCTCATGGCTGGGGAAACCCTTTGTTCGGAAGACTTCAATTTGAGGGACTGGAAAGATTCAAAGAATTCTGATGAAAGACGGCTTGGAGTCTTTTCGGAGCTGCTCTGTCTGCAAAACGAATACTCTTATCAACACAAGGTAATGGGTGGAAATCAAAATATTAGAATCATCCACTTCTAATTGAATTGTAGCGGATACAATGTAGTTTGATACATCACTTGGGATGAGTTCCAATGTGGAGTTTGTACACTTGGGAATAAAGAGTTATAGGCAGAATTTTTGCCAATTAAATCAACGACGATGAATTATATTCAAACATTGACATGTGTTATTATATTTATAATGGATGTGCCATCTACGAGACTCAAAGTATATATTAATTTATAAGGATTAAAACATTTTAAATTTCTTTGTAAATTCAATATGAATTTAACTATAAATTTTGTATGATCAAACCACCTGAGAGCGATATATTGCATCACAGTACAGCATCCACACTCACAATCAGGGCTACACGCTATCATAAAGACGAACCATTAAAGACCTAAGGCTCCAAGCATAACGAATAGCCCTGGCTCCACGCTATCATTTACTTTCTTAATGGCTTCGCTTAGGCAACTCCTATCATAGTTTTACAGATTGAAATACTAATTGAACCCCAACCTTAATCCCAACCCAAATATGACCAGTAACTGACAATTCTGCAATTTACTGACTTGCTATCAAACTCAAACACATTCTTGTGCAATATTATATGGAAACAATATGATGAACATCAAAAAACAAACACATACCCTGAAGTGTTTAGGCCTTCCAATAGGCAAGGAGATGGAGGATGCCTTCCAGGAAGAGGAATCTGGAGAGATTTAAGAGCAAACATTTGGAAGTCCGTGACTAGCCCGTTCATCTTCTTTATATCTGCAACCTGGTGAATCACGATGAAAAACAATTAGAATTTCCTCCTAAAAGATATCTATTAATTTTGATTTTTTTTTTTTTTTCCTTCCTTGGGGGTGTAAGAAACTGAGCTTTGACCTTTTAATTGAGAGAACCAAATAACAAATAATATCGACCACAGGTGAATGGAATTGTCCATGCTCTCGAGGGAAATTTTCTATCATATGATTACACACTGCCCGAAGAAGGAAGCCGATATTCATCAGAATTGCCGAATATCAAACTCCAACTAATCATGGAGCCAGGTTTCGAGAGCAACCCATATTAGTTTTGTTTAAATCTAGAGTTTTCAAAAACTCTATTCAAACATCTGGGACATAACAATTTTGACCCTTTGATTTCTAATTTTTGCATTAAATTTTACAATTTTCCTATAAAATAATTGTTTGATTTTAAACCAGTTTTTCAATTTTTGTTAATTTTTATTTTCATCTATGTTTTCCCCACAACAAAAGATACTCCTGCTTCGCCCCTTTTAACTCCCTTCGAAAAGGTCGTATTGAGCGGGAGAACAGGAAACAATAGCTGGTCAACATCTACATGTAGTCCATGCTAATCAAATGGTTATCTCGTGGTGAAAACACTAATAAGTTCTGATTCATTCCATTTTCAATACAAATCCGTCATAAGCATCATTTGATCATAGCAGAAAATTCAAGGGACGAATGAGTTGTCATCGCTATGGTTTTTAAAAAACTCATCCCAGGCCAAAAAGGAAACAGAGTAATTCTAACCTTTCGGTGAAAACGATAGATTTAAAATAATAATTATAAAAAAAATAAAAAGCAACATCTGACACCCAACATCATAATACCAAGCAAACACAATTTTGAAATCATTTCTATTGCTTCCCCATCATAACGACGATTGAAAGAAGTTCAGGACATTTCAAACTACTGCAAATTCAGAAATCCTTTTTCTATTATAAACTCATCTGAGATTCTGAAATGTGGTTTACCTCGACACCATATTTGATTGCAACTCCAGCAAGAGTGTCGAATTTAGAAACTGGATGCACGATACAATTCGAAGAAGAAGCAACCTGCGACGTCTTCCCGGAGCTTCTTCCAATAGGCGTGTTCTCTCCGTAGACATCCACGAGATCTAACGCATGATAGCCATTGCTCTCATAACTATAGTCAAAATCCCCGTTTCCGTTCCCGTTCATCCGCCCCCTTTCCATCTGCGCCTCTCAAATCCACCATCAAAATAAATTTCCGTCAAGAAAGTAAATCCATCGCAGGATCAACCAAAACTGAAAATCGATCCAAATCAACTCCAAACAGCAACGCCAAAAAAAGAATCCTCCCGAAAAACAAACTGCAACAATCAAGACGAACAGAAACACAAAAAAGAACCCTAGACCTGAATTGGAAAAGAAAAAGGAAAACAAAACAAATGAAATCAAAGAAGAAACTTGTTCGCCTTTCGAGGTAAAAAAAAACTGAGAATCCAAAATTTCTTGGAAAACTAACGAAAGATTTTCGCTCTTCTTTTCTTTTTCTCTCCGTTACTCGTTTCTTCAGAGAACCCCCAAAAAAAATATCCGACAGTTCGAAGACTTCGACGATCACATTTTCGTTTTAAATATTTTATAATTTTCATAATCCAATTTTCAATAGTATTTATTTAATGACTACCGGGGAATTTTAAAGCATCGGGCCGGCCCACTACAGTAGAGGCCCAAATCCAAGGATTTTGGGCCATCATTGTCGGTGGGCCCAGTGGAAATCTCCGGCAAAATGACCGAGATTGAACTGTCGGCTGTTTTTTTTTTATTTTTTATTTTTATTTATATAATTATTTTATGGGAAACGCGTGGGGCCCTTTGACAGGTAGGCTAGGCAATGGGAGACTTTGAAAAGGATCCTAAAAGTGGGCGACGAATCTTAGTCCTCTCAATTTCGTTGAGGAACTATTCTGATTCTAGTTGTCATTCATTCACACCCCACCCTCTTAAATTTCAAAATTGCATTTTTAATTAAAAAAAATTATTTTAATAATGAACATGTAAGATTCCACGTCAATTGAAGAGAGAAACTAGAAAGAACATTAGATCTTCCTAATCATGTGTTTAGTCTCGTCTAATTTGATTTTACAAAGCAAGAGGAGAGCTTTTGATTGGATTAAATATATAATTTATTATTTCCATCACCAAATTAGACATTAGAACAAGCTTGCATGCAACCATAACCACTAAAAAAGATAAAATTTAGTGTCATACATTGATTAAAACAGAACTTGCACGGAAGCAAAACAACTTAATTCTCAAATTGCATTAATAATAGTTTACCTAAAACTAATAATTATTAATACAATTTGGTGCAAGATCTTTAAAATAAATCTTTAAAATAAAAATTAAATACCGACTTTGAAATCAAATTAATAAATTAGTGTTTAGGAGAGGAGCTAAGTATGAGCACATAGGGATTTTAATTGTATAATAATAAGGCTCACAATACAATAGAGTTTTTAATATAGAAAGAAAAGGGGGAAATAATAGAAAGAACCACAAATATTAAAAAAGAGTCGGATAAAAGGGAGGAAGGAAGGAAGTCCACACTCAGCTACCACTACTACACTACTTACTACTTACTACTAACATAATACTCTAAAAACATGTCTCTTTCCGGTTGCCAAAACTTTGATTCCCCATTTGCCTTTTCAAATGGACCTTTCTCTCTTCTTTTAATCATCACCAAATGTGGTTTTCTTCCCTGCTAAGCATTCATCATTCGCACATTTCAGTAAACCAATCAACCCAGAAATGATAAATGAATACTTCAGAAATCCATCTTTGTTTCTTTACTTACCAGATGCAGTTATGCTAGGTCTGTTGAAACTTCCACGTCCTCCTCTGCCGCCTCTTCCGCCTCGATCACCACCACGTCCTCTACCACCAAATCGCCCACCACTTCTACCATCACCACCGCTCCTTCCTCCACTCCATCCACCACTCCTTCCACCACTCCTTCCGCCTCTTGCACTACCACCACCATCACGGCTGTCGCCACGTGGTTTAGCCTCATCGACGGTTAGGTACTCGCCGTTAAGTTCACTGCCATTGAGTTCAAGAGCTTTGTTGAAGCTATTCCCATCACTGAAGTCCATGTATGCCATCCTGAAAACAGAAAACGTCATCCTGTCAATTGTATTGAAATCTACACAAATGCAATGAAGAACCGATAAATTTTAAATCTTTCCTTAGTTTGTTCTCCCCAGAAAACAGAAGAATACAACAAGACAGACGAAAGTAATAACAAAACACAAGAACCAAAATGCTCTTGAAGGGAAGATGCTCTATTTATACCAAAATTATTTATCAAGAAATAACAAAATACAAACCCTTTTACGTTGCCAGTCTCGTAGTCTTTTGGGATAGACACCCTGGTAATTTCTCCACAAGAACCAAAATGCTCTTGAAGGGAACTTCTAATCTGTAAAAAATAAGAAATTCAGAGGCTTCGTAAATACATCAAGTACAGTAATATGGCAGAAGCAGACTAATAAGACGCAGCAAATATTATCACCTCATCCTCGCCTAATGACCGATCAAATCCACGTACAAAAATTGTATGACTTGCTCCCCCCCTTCCACCTTTCTGGAATGAGTTGTTTCTGTCTTTGCTATTAATATCAACAAATCCATAAAAGAGATGGGTAAATACGAATATGCAAAGGGTATTGTATTAAAAAAAGGAAGATAGTTTATATTTACCTATCATATGGGGTGTATGCACCTCTTTCTCGGGCCAAGTCAAGTCTTATTTCACGATTTAAGAGGAGTTCACCGTTCAGTTCAAGAGCCTAAGGAAATATTTAGTACGCAATGTGAACATTAATCATGTGAACATTCTGAGACCAGTTGAACAAGAAAAACAATACATTATAATAGTTGGTGCACCATACAAAAATGCAAATAATATTAATAGATAATGAAAGTTCTATAAGTAGAACCCAAGTCTAAAGGAAGAGAAAATCCCCAAAAAAATTAAAATTCTGGTCTTCACAAACTATCTGTGCACAATGGATTATCCATTAATTTTTCTTTAAAACTAAAAGAATACACCACCACCTGAAATAAATTAATTTACGAGGGGTTTAACGAGATTGGAAAGTGATTCTTACTTTCTTAGCAACTTCAGCTGTCTCAAACTCAACATGCCCAAAGCCCTTGAACCTCCCATCATGATCAGAAGCAAAACGGACATCAATAGGTTTCCCAACATCTTTAAAGAAATTTTCCCTGCAATGTTTTTTAACCCAATTAAGTATAAATGCAATACCAAAAGATATACAGAAATGGCAGAGAACTGTTCAACCAAAAGAACCCATAGCTATGTTTCAAATCACATGCAAAGACCACCAATTATCAATAAATAAACTGTCAAGGAGAAATAAAAATCAAAACCAAATTATAACACAAAATAGTAATATTGACATACACATCAGCCTGTTCAACTTGGAATGACAGGTTGCCAACAAACAGTGTCTTCGATTCATTACTCTGATCTTTAGGAGTAGGAGTATTAGGCTGCATGGAAATCATTAAAATTAATTGCTGATTGTATGACATTATAACAGAGGGAGAACAAATAGCACAATGAAGTTTGTTTTACTTCTTTCTTCGATTGCTTGGTGGCTGCTTCAGTATCCTAATGCCCCAGAAAATGTCACAAAATAACAGCATTAGTACATTGATATAGAAATAGCCAAAATGGCGAGATTGTATTTAAGAACAAAAAAATAACCAGACATCAACTCAGATCTTTTATGACTTGCTGAAAGTGAATAATGGATCACTGGAAAACATGATCAGAGTACTCTCAATTACTATAAAATCTTATGAACTCGCACAGTTGCCATTTTAACTAATCAAATTTATATCCTTACTCATGTTACATGCTCAAGGAAAACACTAACCACTTTCTTCTTCTTTTGTGGTTTTTGTTCCTCGTCACTTCCACTGGAAGTATCATCGCTGTCTTCTTCATCCTCACTATCCACATCCATCTTTTCTGGTGCTTTCTCAGAAGGAACCACAGCTTTCTTTGGAGTCTGTAAAGATGTGAGCTAAAAAATTTAATATCATACAATATAAACAATTCTCTCATATATTTAGTTTCATACTTAACAAAGGAAGATATTGCAGGCATCAAACAGTTAATAACAATGAAGCCGAGCCATTATGGAGTTTATTAATATAAATGTAGGACAACTAAATTGGGGACATGAGATATTCAAGCACAACTGCAGCAGCAAAAAGCAGACACAAAAGGCAGAAAGGCCTGCACTAATGATTCAGTAAAATGTAATAGCATACCATATCCTCGTCTGAATCACTATCTTCTGAACTGTCGCTAGAATCTTTCTTAGGTGCCTGGGAAGAAGATTTTGCAGCAGGAACCTGTGAACGAAAATTAATGACCCAGAAAAAACTCCCCTGGAGCAATTAAAAGACAACTGTAGGCAATAATAATCAAAACCTCACATCTTCATCAGAATCTGAACTATCAGAATCAGACTCATCACTCGATTCATCTTTTTTAGTAGCTGCAGAGCCGTTTTTAGCAGAACTTGGCACTTTCTTCAGCTCTTTGCCTTTCTTGGATTCCTTCATTTTTTTAAGAATCATTAAAAAAGGTTAATTTTAACTGCAAAAAGTCAACAAATCTTACAAGCAACGCTTTCAGCCAAATAAATAGTACTTACAGGTTCTTCATCTGAAGAGCTATCGTCCTCATCTGAAGAGCTATCGGATCCTTTTTTGGCAACTGGAGCAGGCTTGGCAGAGTCCTTGAGGAAACATACAGCAAAAAATGAGAAAAGATGCAATAACAACTATATAGGATTCCATTCGCCCCATCGGAGTAATTAATGAAGAAAATATTGCAGCATGTTGACATCAATACTTACATCTTCCTCCTCTGAACTGTCATCTGAGTCTGAGCTACTTGACTCCACTTTCCCTTTGGGGGTAGTGGCGGGGGTGTTCTTCTTTGCTCCAGTAGCTTTTGCCTTTGGTTCCTAGAGGACGAGACCCATTAAATTGATTAAAATAATGTCAAGTATTAAAGATCTGAAAAATAAATTGGCATTCTTTCAGAAATTGGTAGCACACGCTGAGCAATTCCTATTTAAAACTCACATCATCAGAATCAGAATCATCATCGGAAGAGTCTTCCTCCGAACTACTGGAGGCCTTCTTCTTGGCAGGGGCAGCAACATTACCTTTTTCTGGAGCACTTGGTCCCTTGGAAGGGGGCGCCTGAAACAATTGAGGGATTAAAATTATCATCAAATGAACGAACTTACAGAACATACACTAATTAAAGAACAATGAATTGAAATTACTAGAAAATTTTCCAGTAAATTGTGGGAGTGTGTTTGCTCACTTCATCAGAATCTGAGGAATCATCTTCTGAGCTGCTGCTACTATCAGCAGGCTTCTTCTTTGCAGGAGCAGCAACGCCATTAGACTTTTTTGCTGGAATCTCTTTCTTTGAGGGAACAGCTTTACGAGCAGGTTCCTGGAGTTGTTAAAAC